GTCAATGATATTCGACTGGTTTGTTCTGAGATATTTAAGGATACAACTCGACGCGATCATATCAACTACCCCTACATATAACTAAACTGGAGCAGTCAATAACCCTGCTTCCTCCCATCCAAACTCAACCAAAGAGGATTCTCTACTGAAATATGAAGTTTAACTCCTAACCTGTTACACGAGTCTCAAAGAAAGCCCTCGCGCAACGCGCGTCTTCTAGTTATATACAGGGTGTCCCAAAAATAACACGCCAGAGCGACACTGGGTAGATGAGCTATATACCTACCAGAAAAAAATAATTTGACCTTAGTAAAAGTCTTAGTTTGCGAGATATTTGCACTTTTTTATTTTTTTGGAATAACTCTACTTTTTGTTGAGTTTATTGCTACTATTGCCAGGGTTAGGTCCAGATGGTAGTTGTTTTTATTTTTCAGGTAACCTGAATAGTTTTTCCAGGTACTGCAACTAATATTTTATCTGATAAATGTCATAAAATGTGAAAAAAGTTATTAATTTGGTATACCTCGTACCCTTGTAAAAAGTTAAACGTTAACTTTGAATAGCTAGTGTGAAAAAAAAATGTATGAAACTGAATTTGCAAATGATCTTAATAATTGCTCCACTTAATGCAGAATCAGGAATGGTACAATATTATTGAGATTTTTCACAAGAACATAGTCATTTAATTTATTTTTCGTCATAACACCCTACCAGCCTAATCAGTTTCTAGACAAAATTAAATTTAAACTTTTAAATTAATTAATTGCTAAGCGCTAGGTAACGGCGCATCAATCTTTTTCCCACGCTGTATTCGTAATAAAGGAGTGAGATAGTTACTAGGCTTTTCTTTCTCTCTCTGAACTGGTACAAACAAACTATGACAAATCAAACTTCCCAAAAGCATGCGGATTTAGCTACTAATATCGTGGTAGAGTGCCTTTGTGTGTCGCTTGATTTGTCGCCGTTTTTACTTAATGGAAAATAAAACAATACAATTTAAATAATGTAATTTTTATTAGATATTATAGCAAGTGTTCAAACTGCCTCCCTCTGACTCTAATGCACATGCGACATCTTTTGACGAATGAGCTTCTGAGACGCCTCAAACTCATTTGAGAAATTTCTCGAGCTGCTTCATAGACTTGTCGTCGTAGTTCGGTTTCTGTAGTGATAGCTTTGGAGTAAACTTTATCTTTTAAGCACCCCAATAGAAGAAGTCGAGGGGGTTCAGATCAGGTGATCTCGGTGGCCACAAAATTGGTCCCAATCGGCCAATCCATCTTCGTGGGAACGTCTGGTCGAGGTGCGTTCGGACGTCGCGAGCGTAGTGGGCTAGACACCCATCATTTTGAAACCACATTCTTCTTAGTAATGCTATTGGCACATCTTCGAGAAAATTTGGCAAATGGTTTTGTAAAAACTCTAAATAATTTTCGCCATTTAGAGTCGGAGGCAGTTCATCTGGACCAAATATTTCCCCATTGAATATTCCGGTCCATAAATTAATTTTAAAGTGGTGTTGAGACCGATCTTCTCTTCTCTCGTGCGGGTTCTCTAACTGCCAGCTATGGATATTGTGGAGGTTTACATAGCCATCTCTGCGACATGCTGATTCATCACTCCACAAAATCGTATTAAAAAAGTTGGAGTCTTCACTGTGCTTTTGAAGCATTTGTTGACAAAACTGTACGCGTTTAGCGTAATCGATCGGCAGTAAAGTTTGAACTCTCTGAATATGGTATGGGTGGTATCGGTGCCTTTTTAAAATTCGCTGTGCCGTAGACTTTGAAATGCCAGTCCGTCTTTCTATCAGGCGAACTGAAGTGGACGGATCTCTTGACACTTCCTGCAAAACTATTTCGTCTGCGACGGTACGAGGTCTGCCTCCACCACGATGGCCAGGGTTCCTACCCTCTCTGTATGCAGCATCCACTCTTATTATGGTCTCATGGGTCGGTGGCCTACGGTTAGGAAATCTTACCGCATACAATCTTGCTGCTAATCTTGCATTTAACGATACGATGCCGCGAGCAGAAACACGTCTAGTTTCGCCGTAAATTAGGTACATGTCACCGTAATCACTATGGGTGAATTCAGGGTTTGCTCCAACGATATTCTGTTGATCTGCCATTTTAACTGTATAAAGGCAGTATCCGGAGGCATAGCCGTCGATCACACACAAACAACACGGTCCAAATAGTAAGCAAATCAGGGTCCAAAGTAATGCCAAGTTATTGATATGATTACTAAAAAACCTTTTCCGATCGTTATCAAATCAAAGTCCAAAGTGATGCCAAGTCGTCGAAAGTGTAGAAACGGAAGCAGCGATAAAACGAAAAACGCGTACGTAGCACAAAACACAAAGGTATGTACTAACGGGTACTACGGGCCCAACCCGACCCGATCCCACCTGGCGACCGATACCGAGAGAGATAACAAATAAGGGTCATACCTCTCGCTCATTTTTTACTACCTGGGGCCTAGCGACAGAGTAGTTAGTCATAAAGCTCAATAATTTAACACAATTTTTGTTTAGAAACCAATTCGGCTAGAAGGGTGTTGATGTCGAAAAAAAATTAAATGACTAAGTTCTTGTCAAAAATTTCAATAATATTGTACAATTCCTGATTCTGCATTAAGTGGAGTAGTTTTTAAGATCGTTTATAAATTCAGTTTCATACAATTTTTTTTTTCACACTAGCTATTCAAAGTTAATGTTTAACTTTTAAACAAGGGTACGAGGTATACCAAATTAATCACTTTTTTCATAGTTTATGATATTTCTCAGTAAAATATTAGTTGCTGTACCTGGAAAAACTATTCAGAATACTCGAAAAATAAAAATAACAACCATCTCGAGCTAACCATGGCAATAATAGCATAAAACCCAACAAAGAGTAGAGTTTTTGCAAAAAAATAAAAAAGGGCCTATATCTCGAAAACTAAAAGACTTTTACTAGGGTCAAAATATTTTTTTCTGGTAGGTATATAGCTCACCTACCCACAGTGTCGCTCTGGCGTGTTATTTTTGGGACACCCTGTATATAAAGCTACAAGTTCTTACTCACTGATAGAAATAGAACGCATACTTTCTGATATGGTGGAAAAAAAATATTTATACCGTTGTACGAGGATAGGCTCCAAAGCAAAGAATCAAATATGAGAGGATGAATATGGAAAATATGAGAGTGATCAACGGCCTGCAAAAACTATAATATATGGAGTGAATATTTGTGCATTTTTATGAAGTACACCCTGGTCAATTTCCGCGGGAAGTAAAAAATGTTCGAAATTCAAATAAACAAGATGGCCGCCATACAAATTTCAAAGCCTCCTATCACGGAAACTATTAGATCTCTAATAGAAGGAATGTCATAGAGGGTAACACTGGTCAACTGCCAGAGTTAAAAAAAATCAAGATGGCGATTTCAAAATGGCGGCCGAAGTAAAACTTGCTTCGATCCGGCTGAAAATTAGCATGCGAGGGTCTTTAGGAGTCCTTAATCAAAATTGGGGGTCAAAAATTTCTTTTCGCCACTTTTTAATATGGCTGCTACATAAGTGTTTTTTTCGTTAAAAGAAGCTGCCGAAAGAGATTTGCTCTGATTCGACTGAAAATTGGCATTGGCATGAAGGCTACTAGAAATGCCGGATAATAATTTGTGCTCAAAATTTGTTTTTCGCTATTTTCAAATATGGCCGTCATAGAAGCGTTCGTTGGCGGCAGAAAAAAAATTGCTCATTTTTGAAAATTGGCATATGGGGGTCTCTAGGAGTGCTTGATAATAATTTGGGATCAAAATTGGTTTTTCGCCATTTTTAAATATGACTGCCATACAAACTTTTTTAGTGGCAAATAAAAATTTGCACTAATTCGATTGAAAATGGACATGTCGGGGTCTTTATGAATGTTTAATAATAATTAGCGGTTAAAATTTATTTTTCACCATTTTTCAATATGGCTATCATATAAACTTTTTTGGCGATAGATACAAATTTCTTCTAATTCGACTGAAAATGACATGGCATCATAATTTGGGGTAAAAATTTTGTTTCCGCTGTTCTTCGATATACGTAGCCGTAATTTATTTATGTAACTTGCTTTGCTCGAACTGAAAATTAGCACGAAAAGATTTCTAAGATTGTTTGATAATAATTAGTGGTCATAATCACATAATATATTTTTGTAATTTTTAAATATGGCCGCCATCCAAGAGCTTTTTTTTTAAACAAAGTCAAGAGTCAAAGTAATTATATACGGAGGCGTAATAGATTACGAGTACAAGATCTCACAATTGTAAAAATGTAAGGCATACTTCCAGATGTAGTGGAAATGAGATACTTATTATAGCGTCGTTGTATCTCAACCATATCTGTTAGATTCCATTTTCTAAAAGCTATGCCAACGAGAAGTATTTAGGGGGGAAAAAATGCCAAACTACTGCTGAATTTCCTGTACTATGAATACCAAAACAACGATAATCCAGAATACTCAGACCAAAACCAACTTAGAAATGTTCGTTTCTTAAATTGGCCCAAATCGGGAATCGACCTCCTCATCAAGCGCCCATAGTACTAACTGCTCTGCCACCGAAGAGCATAAACACACCCCGTAAACTGAACCCGACCACGCGCCGCAGGCCGAGGGCCGAGGGGTACAGGTCTCGTTGTAGATAAAGTTACAAAACCTTTTATGTAACTGTTAATTTGGGTTTATTACATAATACAGCTTTAAATGTTAATTTGATTATTGTGAGAATTGAACTGAGTAATCAAACCCAGAAATGGGTTTGTAAATTCTTATTTCCATAGAGCAACCCCTGTACAAGATCCAGTTAGTAACAGTACAAAAATTCTGCGAATGTTGATCTCCAAATCTCCAAAAGACAATTTTTTTCCCAGTAACAGTAACACTAACATTATTAGAGGCCTAGTTCCATGTAACCTACTTGTAAAATCAGGTCCTTTAAATAAATAGCCTACTTAAGAATTTTTTTTTGTGTTTTATTTCTTCATTGGGACTCGAAATAAGGTAACTAGTACTAGTGTTATATTATCTGTGTTAACTTATGTATTTTATTTTACACAGTATTTTACGAATATTAGAGCATCACGCATAAATATAGTCATTTGTATTTTCCTAACACAAGCACAAATGTAGGAAGTTGTCTGGATAGCTCATATGTTCTGATAGCCATTGAAGGGGTGTGTCTGATGGTAATGTTATGCCATGTGTCCTTAATTTAACTGGAACAAAAGATAAAACCATTAATTTATCCAAATGAGACTGCAGTAAATTTACCAATTATTTGTTGCTTCCATATCACAGACCATGTTCCATATATACAGGGTGGCATGGAAGTGATGGCCAAGACAAAATGAGGAGATAACGTAACGGAGGTAAAAAAAGATATTATTCAATTTGATCAACTCCTGCTATCCCGATTTTATCTTCCGATACAATGAGATGATCTTTACAGGAAACTGAGTCGATCAGGATTGAAAAAAAAATTGTCAATATAAGTCATTTTTATGGTCAACTCACGCTTGACTAAAAAATGTACAATATCAATTAGTTTTCTCAAAAAAGATCTAATGGTTCCTAAGTCAGTTTCCCTGTCCTTCCTATAGTTTCGGATTTTCACACACTATCCCAGTTAAAAAAATTACAAGATAACTTAGGGTTAGCACGACGCGACTTGCGCGAGAACGACATAAGGCGCGAGATCTCTATACAAGAATAGCGTTTCATGTCGCTTTCGCACAAGTCGCGTCCTGGCGTGCTAGCCCTACTGTTACTACCGTATTTTGAAGTCGATTATTTTCACCTGAATTTGTATTTGAGTATTCTTAAGATTAAAATGGGATTCAAATGACATAATTTCCTAATATTTGCCCATCAACTTGTCAAAGATATTTCAAGACTAAACTCGTGATTTCTCTTCAATGAGAGAAAAAGAAAATTGGCAGTGCAACTTACCGTCAGACCTGTCAGGGTACAGTTCAGAGATCATTTGCTGCAACACCTTTCTGGTGCCATCGCTATTCTTTGGGCTGACTAGTCGTTGATTGCAGATGCCATCATCAGAATACAATCTTACAGGAATGTGTTTGAAGCCTTCAGTATCCCCGTGGGACTCCATCAGTCTTCTATTTATTGCCCAGAATTGGTCAAATTTATCTGTAAAGGTCACATTAAGAGGTTTACTTTGTTAATTTGATTAATCAGGTTTTAATGATATTTGATTAAATATCCCTTCGTGTGGCAAATTTCCGCGTCGGGGCATCAGGCGAATATCTTCATCTAGGATTATCATTTTGAATAGAATAGAAACCATTTATTACAACGCCACAACACAAAGATACACAAAAAGAAAGAATAAAAAAAGACAAAGCGAAGTAAAATGTGAAAATTATCGATCAATAAGCATATTGTCTTGCCTGGCCAAACTTTTTGAGTCGCTGGTGTACTTGCATCTGTATAATCATGTTAGACAACAAATAACTCCATTACAATATGGTTTCATCGCGGGCAGATCGACTATAAGTAATTACTTGTTTACAAAAATTATATTTGTTCCGCTTTTGCCGATAAGCGTCAGATAGATGCAGTGGATACAGAATTTTCAAAAGCTTTTGACCGGGTAAATCATCAACTTTTGTGTGCAAAGGTCTCCGATTATAGGATTCACGGAAGTTTACTTAGATGGTTTGAATCATATGTTACTAGACGTAATCAAATTGTCGCTATAAGAGGTCATCTGTCGGTGCCAACTCCGATAGCTATGAGAGTTCCCCAAGGTTCTCATCTTGGGCCACTAATGTTCAATATATTTATAAATGATATTGTTGATTGCATTGACAGTTGTTGCCTCTTGAATGCTGATGATATGAAATTATATCGTACAATCAGGGAAACTAGAGATTGCTTTGCTTTACTACACTAGGAATTACTTAATGTAGCGAAGTGTTTAACTATCACTTTTACCACAAGACATTCGGCAGTTCAGTACAATTATACTATAAAAGAACAGCAATCGAAACGTAGTCAAGTGGCGAAAGATTTAGGTGTCTATTTAGACTCAAAATTGAATTTCCATACACATTTTAATTATGTTACTAACAGAGGGTTTCAGATGCTGAGTTTTATCATTCGTGCTTCGAAGGGTCTTAAAAAGCCTTTAACCTTGTTCCGACTTTACTATGCTTTAGTTAGGCCAATTTTGGAATACGCTTGTGTAATTTGGTCACCATTCTATGATGTTCACTCGCAAAGTATTGAACGAGTTCAAAAATCATTTTTGAGAGCAGTTTGTGGTAGGTTCAGTTTACTGCGAAGTCTGCAATCGTATGCCTATAGGGTTGAGTACTTTAAGGTGCCGTTATTGGAAAAAAGGCGAGATTTTAATGAACTCCTTTACTTACATAAAATCATACATTCTATGGTGGGTTGTCCCGATCTTTTAAGCCAAATTAATTTTAATGCCAAAGTACGTCTCCGGGTGCCGAGGATTTTTCGTCTTAATGTATATAAAAATAATACCTCTTTCTATAACCCCATAGTGAAAATGTGTTGAGTTTATGATGAACTTAAGCAAGGTAATGCTCATCTCGATATTTTTAATTTGATTATTAATTCATACAAGACGCAATTACGTGTACCGCTTCAGTTTTAGCTTTTGATCATTTTGTGTTCTGTTATATAATTACTATTTTTTTAAACTATTTGCCCAAATCACTGTAAATTTATTTATTAATTTCTTTTTTTTTATTAATTTCTTCATTTTAGATTTGGAGATTGTAGTTTTACACTAACCTAATACTAAGACTTATTAAATCATGCTGTGTACACTGTTTTTGGAATGCGGTCTAGGCTATTAATGTATCAAGCTGTATCTGTTACCACGTCTCTGATTACATTCTGTTTGTGTACCCTTAAAATAAAATACAATAAAAAATAAATAAAAGTAAAACAAAAAATTAATTAACAATAACAATGAAGCGAAACATCAACTTTTAAATACTTAGTCAATTCACCATTTTTCACAATTAATAAATGTCATGTGTGTGGCTGTGACGTATGTAAATGGATCCACTCAGCTAATGTCACAACCGTGACTAAAGGCTGCAACTCAGATTTTCAGTGGACCATAATTTTACAAAATTACTGTCTAAATTACTCCAGCAGGGCCATTGACTTACAATTATATGGACGTCGGGTCCGCACTAAAAAGTGTCCGAACTTATAGTTAAAATCGTATACAGAGCGTCATTCACGCTTTAGTCTTCGTTTGTTTGACTGACAGCGAAGCAAGCAAAATTAGACAGTACTGCGATGACATTACAATTTAAATTCAACGTTTTAGCTTTTTCATATTCCTTTACATATCACTACGTTTAAATAGGTTGACTTGGGACATTTTTTTCGTGGTTTTTGTATTAGACCCGTCGTCCATTTATTTGTAAGTCAATGAGCAGGGCACTCAGTTCTAGTGTCTGCTGTTTAGAAAAACTAATTGTACTGTTTTTTTATATGAAACCGTACCACGAAACATGTACCATATTTTTCAAACCCATCATATTATGTTAAGCTAACAAATTGCATTGCAAAAAACACATTCTTGGTGTAAAAATAAAGTTCAGTTTTAAGTCAAAGTTTAAGGGTTAAAGAAATTTTCCCCCAGTAGGGCTAGTACGATAAGGCGCGACTTTAGCGAGAGCGGCATAAAGCGCGAGATACTGCTAATTTCGCATAGAAATCATGCGCTTTATGTCACTCTCGCGCAAGTCGCACCCTATTGTGCTAGCTCTACAGAATTATACATAACAATTTTTTTTAAACTAAAAAAAAATACAATTTGTTTTTATTAAGATAATATGCCACTGTAAATTATAGTTAGATAAATGCGCAGCAGCATATAATTAGCTTTCTTAGTCTCTCTCTCTCTCTCTCTCTTAATCAGAAGTTTACCCTGACCATACTCCCCGCTTTGTTCTTGTATGATGGCTCATATTTAATGATTATTTTAAAGAACAATACAACTAAGCAACTACAGTCCATTCTTGTCTTATGTTGTCGCTTTAGTATGTGTTAAAGCTTAAATTAACTTTTAAATGGAATGCATAGATACTGTACCAAACAGGGGAGCATGATAGAGGGGAGATACAAGGTATTTTTTAGTGTCTTTGAGCAGGAATTTGCCAGATTAGCGTATTTGACAAAAATGGCGATATATGCGTATATATGAATAAGGTATAAGATGAAATGTTACCATTTTGTAATCCAAGCCATAACTGATTGTGGTCCTTTTTTTGCATGGTAGACATAACTTGCCCACGGTGTTTTAGCACGTCTGCCTCTTTCACTGTTGACATGTAATGGGCTTCTACAACTTCTCTGAAATAATACACACACAGATAGTATAATACCTGAATTGGCTCTTTAATTTGAAATTTATAATTGGTTTAAGTAATAATAAATCATTTGTTAGGCAGTAAAATACAATAAAACAGAAAATTAATTACAAATTAAAAATCTTCCATGTTTTATTATGTCCTAATAGGAACAATTTATTTCATTTTTGTTTATTTTTCATTTATTTACAGTCTGTCTGTTACTTTTTCATACCTAAACCATTGATTCAATTTTGACACACTTTTGATACAGATATAGATGGTACCTAGGTGAATGACATAAGCTATGTTATGTTAGAAAACTAAATTTTAAAGGGGTTTGTTAACTAATTTTATAACTATGAAAATAAGTATAGTACAGTAGGCTACTCGAAGTACTAAACCTATGCAGATGAAGATGTGGGTTTGTCATAATAAAGTAAAAAATATATTTTGTCACTGTTGAAAGATGCTTTCTAATAATATGTTCAGTTATATCAATTTCACAAGATTAATTATAAATACAAAGATTGAACACTCAGAAAAAATTCCTTCGATCCGGCCGGAACCAACGTCTTCTACCTTACCGTGCCACACAAATTTAGTTACAGCACTCAATGAAATCACTCACTTATTAAGGCAATGTAATAAAATATCTTCAGGGAATTTAGTAAAATGGACAGTCAATGCCCACGGCAGTTGTGGATCTTGACCACAATATAGGTCGTACAGGAAGCCTATTGGGTAGTGCCATTTCAGTGGCTGACCATTGTAGTCCAGCCACATCTCGTTGTCAGCATTCTCTTGTGAAATATAACGCAGAAAATGCCTTTTCATCTGAAAATAAATGTGATTACTAATAAAGAAGTTGCAATACTAAATATAATGTACAGTTATGTTATGAGTACGCAAAGATATTAACAAAAACACAGCAAAAAGAGTAATTATAATTAAAGATTAAAGAGCCATAAATAAATATCTTTGTAGGTAGGCTAAAACAACGAAATTATCTCCTTAATTTAAACTACTAACCTTATCCGTTACTAGAGGGAAGTAGCTCAACCTTGGAACCATCACATAGAAAGGGTCTGGCTGCTGAATTTCCATGATTTCTTCTTGATCTAATTGAAAACATATTGGTAATTTTCCGTCCCAAATTTCACGCAATACTTCTCTATCGTTTGCCATTGAGTCTCCTAATATTACACTTTAATAGCAAACACAAGTAACCTCTTATTATGTTTAGGAGGTTTAGGAGCACTCAAATGTGGTGCACTTTTAGCGCACAAGAGAGACCATACAAATTACAAACTTACAAACTTCGTAGAAATAAAAATCAGATAAACATTCCCCGTGAGAGCACGTCCCCCTCTCCGTTTCACTTTTTTTTTTGGTTTTCGCACGTTTTTCGCGGTTAGCGTTTCAGCCATTTACAAACTACTCCACTGGTCATGGTCAGTCTATGCGCTTAAACGTTATAAACGACTTTTTAAGCGTCACACTAAAAAGCGTGTGAAAAGTGTTTTTACAAGCACGCTTTTTAAACGTACGTTTTAACGTTAAAAAAATAAGCAGGTTTTTCCATTTCAACGGTTAACAACGCATAATAACGCATAGAATGATAGTTTCATATCAAACGAGCTGTCACGAGTGAGGCAAAAATCAAATTCATGTAGGCTAGTTTTAGTAGCAGGTTAATTTTCGGTTTTAGTGAATATTTATATAAAAATACAAGTTGAAACGCGTTACTTCCTTGTGGAATGTGATGTTAGTATCTATTTTATGTTTGTCTGACGTATTGTTACACTCATTTACCGCACATTTCGTCATTTTTATCTAAAATTCTTGAGCTGTTCGCGTTGCAAGTTGACCTTGAGGACTGAAGGCCCGCCCGCTCGTGTAGGCCCATTGGGAGCGCTTCAATTTGCCTCACTTAGCATGTGCGGACTAGATTCCTATGCGTTATTATTCTAAGGTTAACTACTACAAAAGTTAAACAACTTATGTTTTTGAACGCTTTTAAACGCCAATGAACAAAATGGTAATATAATAATGTTATAATTAAAATGTTTATGTTGTACGGTTTAAAAATAATTGGTTATTTTTCAAAAAAACTTATCTTAAAACCTTTAGTGGTATACTCTTGCGTTTCGCTCTCAACACAACGTTGCAAGCTTTTTTAACATAAAAGTGTATGCGCTTAAACGTTTTCTAAACGATTTTGGTAGCTTCAAACTGAAAAGCATTTATATATGTGAAAAAGCCTTAGAGGATGGAAAAAAATAAAAGAAAAAAGCACGCTTTCTTTTAAAAAGCATAACGTTTAAACGTTTAAAAAAATCTGTGATATTGTTGAGTAATTTTCCGAAAAATTGGAAAAATATATCGAGTTCTTAGGTTTTCGCGATTATTACACATAGGAAATGAAACTATTTTTCCGGATTTAAGTCGCGTATATTTGTTTTTTCAAACAAACCGACGTTTCGGGCCCTTTACAGGTCCCATGTCAACCGTGACCATTGGACCTAACACAAACTACCCTAAAGGGCCCGAAACGTCGGTTTGTTTGAAAAAACAAATATACGCGATTTAAATCCGGAAAAATAGTTTCATTTCCTATGGAAAAATATAATTTCGTAGGCTCATATATGTTCTACGTTTAGAAATATCTTTTGAAGTTTTATGCCACGTACGTACATACAAAATTAAAATGATTTCACAGCAACGAAAAAACCTTTGTCTTGGCTCCATCGTTTTAACTTTAACTTTTGACGTCTAATGTGGAAAATTATAGGAAAAACATCCGAAAAAAGTATTTATTTTTCAGAATGATATAATATGATTTTTTCAAAATGGACTTTTTTCCATACTATCCTGTGATCTCACGTCAACAGCACATCAAGCCCTAAACTTTTATTCTATGGTCCATCAATGTGTATAGATGTGATAAGACCGTAATATGTATATAGTTTTTAACCGACTTCAAAAAAAGGAGGAGTTCTCAATTCGTCTGTATGTTTTTTTTTGTATGTGTGTTACGTGATAACTCTGCCATTTGTGAACCAATTTGATATGATAACTCTTGTTTTGTTGGAAAGAAGATACCTCAGACGTGGTCCCATTTAAATTTCAAGAAAATATTCCACCTCTAAGGGTGGCTAGGGGATGAATGACTTTTGAGGTCGTTTTTGTAACCGGAGGTTAGGATAGGTTATTGTTTCCATCCTCTAAGAGTTTTTGCGAGTGCGTTTTTCTTTTCTTGTGGCAACTTTATCTATCCCAGTGTGGGGACATTTTTAAGTCGCCAAACACTTCTGTCAATACACGTAAAAAAATACCGCCGCACTGCGCCCAGTTACGAAGCAAAAGTTATCGCGCGGCCGCCCAGCACCTTCATGTACATTAATTGCGAATCTGAATTCTATTTACTAGTCAACAACATTTAAATTGCTTTGAATAATACAACCGCGCGGCTGCTGCGCGGGCCACCGCGCCGTCTCAATCAATTTCAAGCCAGTCTCGCCCTCGTGACCGGGACGCTCATTTAAGTTAAAACGTGAAAGCTAAACAAAGAGAGCGTATTTTGCCATGACAGTTAGACGGACGCGGTCTAACTGTCATGGCAAAATACGGGACTCCGCTCGAAGGCCGAGAGGCATCCGCACGGGGTGAGCGCGATGAAATTCGTGTCGAATAAATGCGCCCTAAAACTACCTTTGAATCGATTGTTTCCTTTTCCTTTATCGAAATCACCGCGTCAAGCGCTCTACGAAATGTCATGCGCGCCGTATAAACTTGTAAACAAAAACTCCGCCTTGAGACAAGGATAATGAAAGTGCGAAATATTCATTTCGCACTTTCATTTACAAGAATAACTTGAGTAGTGCAATTTTTACGTCAGATTTATTCCTTTTTGGTTCTCCTTCCGTCCGTTTTACTGTTGGTTATTTTTTCGAAAAATTTCAAATATGTGTTTGAACATACATCGCCCTTATACTGGGAAAAACAATTATTTCACAAAATATCGATCTTGAAGTAAATACAATTGAAATTTCCACGAAGATTTTTTCTTGGGCATACCATGGTCATCCTAGGTAAATTTGTAACTGTGATTCCACATTTTATATTTTACCGAAATTTGAAAATGTTTGCATTTTACATATACAATTTTTGTGGCGTTATCCTAAATTAAGTGATTTTCTGTCAAAATTCCAGATAATTGGTTTTCGCAGTATAACGACGCATGTTCTTCGTTTCGAAATATCTTTTAAAGTTTTATTTAGCGTTAATTATGAAATAAAATTGTATAAGATGATTTCTCTCTAATAAAATCTCCACTAAAATTGCTGTGCCCAACACAACATTGTCCACAATTGTTTCTCATAGTTATTATCATTTAAAAGTTTTCATCTTTGTATTTTTACATTGTTTATGCAATAAAATTACTGATTACTGGATTACTGGTTTGACAACGGCAAGAAACGAAAAAAAAACCTAAATCATTTTCGTTCAGTTATGTCAATTTTCGACAAGTGTCAACGTCAAATGTGGAAAAATATCCGGAAAAAAAAATATTTTTCTGGAAAAAGTGAAATTTGGAAATTTTTCCATGGCCCAACACTGTAAATTTCTTATCTTTTTTTTAACGTTGGCACAAATAATTTTTCTTTTAGAGTTTGTTTATTGCCTTTTAAAAAAAAAACTCTATTCTCACATTTTTGAACGGAAATGTCATATTTAAAATATTTTGACAAATTTATTTGGCTACCACGTGTGGAGTGGATTATAGTTGTCAGTTTTTTTAGTACCTTCTCTTTATCAATAAAATTACATAAAAGTCTCTAATTTAACACAATATAATAATACATCTAAGGATACTGTGTTATAAATTCTGTATTCTCTTCTGTAGTCTGGTTACGAGCATCAGTAACAAAACAACTATGGGTAAGAAAAGGAAACTTGCAAAAGATAACGATTTAGAGTACGACCCGGTGCCCAAGCATCTTGTAACTTCACACATTAAGAAACAAGAGAAGCGTCTTATCATTATTCTGGAAAATGCGCAGCTGGAAACTGTTAAAGTAAGGTTAAAATTAAGTGCCTTATTTAAATCAATGTCACGTAAACTAGAGATGCCAAATCGACTGCTGATTCCTTGGCCCGAGTTTTAGAGCAGCTGGTGTTGATATTATCTTTGAAGGTAGAATTAGGTCTCAACTTTAGAATAGTTGTGATTTAGGAAACTAAATGTTTTCGAGAAAAAATAATAAGATATATTTATTTCAAATGGCTGTATTTATAAAGCAAAGTTACATGTTATTATACAGTAGTAGTAGTATTAATTTTACTTATTTCTTGTTGATGTTGCTACTTTTTATTACTAACTAGTTGTACCTGCGATTTCATGCCTGCAAACATCTATCATTTACATTTCCTACTTACTTTACTTTACTTTACTTTACTTTCCTTTTACTTACTTTTACTTTTACTTACTTTTACTTTTACTTACTTTACTTTCTTACTTACTAACATATTAAATGGAAACTGTTCATCTATACTATTAAGGAGTAAGGTCTTGAGGATATGTTACTTTATTATATTAACTGCCTTCGTGGTCGGAGTAGTTTGAAAGCGGAACCTCTGCATGGTAGCATGCAGAGGTTCCGCTTTCGATCCCCGGGCTCGGAGAACTATTTTTATGGCCAACTTTTATTTCTCTTGTGATTTTGGGTGTAATTTGTGGTTGTCTATGTGTGTGTCCATGCCACCCGCAATACAGGGATATGAGTGTGTGTGTTATCAGTAGAAAATGATCTCATTTAGTGTAGACATACTAAGACTGGAATTTTCCAAATTTAATCCATAAGATGGTGAAAAAGGGTAAACTTTGTTTGTATCAAAAATAGTAATCCTTGAACTTACTGTAAATATTTAAACTGAAACTTAGTATAAGTATTTTATAATACAAATGGTAAAAGATTGATATAATATTTTTTCAAAACTGCCCCTAAATAAGGGTGAAATGGGGAATTAAAATTTGTATAGGAGCTCTTCTTTAACATGTGGTGCAATTTGCTTCAAATTTGATTGGAAGGCACATGCCACAACCAGAGGACAAAATCTGTCAGAGTCAAGAAAGTCTTCCAGTTCTTCAATGCTGTCAGCCTTGGATCTGACTTAGTGATTAGTGGTGATCACAATAGATCAGTTGATGGTCACAGTGATGAGGGTCTGCATATGCCTTGAATGAGGCCACCCTAATAATAATAATAATAGGGTTTTCCAAACCAACTCTTAAAAATGGATAAGTTAGGGTATCAAAGTATTTTTCAAAAAACTTTTTAATTAAAAAAATGTATCATTATTCCTTAACGCAAACAAACTGGAATATTTTTCATTTGTATTTTAGTAGTATATGCATGTAAAAATTTTATCGGACGAAGTCACGGACAACAGCTAGTTAAGTAGGCTTAAAGATAATGTAGTTTCTATTTTTTTATTTGTCAACTAATTTGAATTAAAAAAACTGTACATGTTAATCTAAGCACATTTTAATATGTCACCAAAAATCACTTCCAAATTGGTTCACCTATTGTAGACTGAGCTCCAATGGGTGGGGTTCAAATAGAATCAAGCAAAAAACAAACGCATTAATATAGAGTTCTTAGGTTTTCGCTATTGTTACACATATCAACCGTGACCATCAGACCTGTAAAGGGCTCAAAATGTCGGTTTGTTTGAAAAAACAAATGCGATTTGAGAAACATATGCGATTTAAATCCAGAAAAATAGTTTCATTTCCTAAACATATTAATAATTCTAAAAAGTTTTTAAGTTTTTGTTGCTAAGCCTGAAGCATAAGGCTTTAGCACTGATTTTTTATTTGTATGTATGTTATGCAATAACTTTGGCTAAAATTAACAATTATGAAAATTTATGAACTCATTTTGATGATTCTTTTTAAATTTTATTTTGATTGGTTCTGTTTAAATTTGAAGAAAATATTCCACCTCTAAGGGTGACAAACTAGTGAATATATGACTTTTGAGGTGGGTTTTTTTAGTACTCTGTAGTGTTTTTACATTAAAAATATTAAATGTACAGTCTCAGGTTGTAAGTTTCATTTCAATTGTATTACAATGTAATGATTTTTTGTGTATGTCTAGACAGAAATTAATTTCCCTCACAACCACTTCATTTTCAACTTCATCATTCTATCACACACATATTAATATTTTTACAAATTTTCCTGCCATTGTTATCTATTTAACATTATAAAGTTTTATCCAATTGTTTTAGAATGGCAGTAACTTCGAGTTATTGAACTGTGATGATCACGCTCATATTTTACGAAAAAATGACCGTGTCCCGGGTTCCTGCCGACCAGATATTACACACCAATCCCTCCTGATGTTAATGGACTCTCCACTAAATAGAGCTGGCTTACTACAAGTGTATATTCACACGGAGAAAAATGTTCTCATTGAAATCAACCCTCAGACCAGAATACCTAGGACTTTTAAAAGATTTGCTGGACTTATGGGTTAGTATTAATTCATACATTCATTTGATCCAACTGAATACTCAGTGTTGTGGGACTATGTATTTATCTAAGGGAAACTGTAATGTTTGTATATATATTAAAAATAATATACATTATAAATAAATAATTCTCCAAACATAAAGCAAACTATTCTCTGAGCGTAGTGCCTCTTAAGTTTATTTCGTTCTGTTGGTTCTCATAGTAAATGTAGTTCCATGTAAATAGGATCAGGTAATTGAGTGATTCTTTTTTTTGTTTGAACTGCCTCTGTGGCCAAACGACCATTACTTACTATTACCATGCTGTACTGCCACCCAGAGGTCCCAGGTTTGATTCCCGGGCCGGGAGAAATATTTGTATGACCTACATTTATTTCTCTCGTGAGTTTGGGTATAATTTGTGGTTGTGTATGTGTGTCCATGGCATCCGCGATACAGGGTTCCCCAAGTGCGGGGCTATGAGTGAGTACGCATTGTATAAAAAAATTCTCTGGCAGTTTCTGAATATTCTGATTTATTTATGAGAAATCACTCTAAGACTGTTTTGGTACTATTGTGGTTCTTGGTAATTGTACATATTTGGCATTGGCCAAAATGTGATAATCATAGCAAACTTATCATTTAAAAAAGTCAATACAAAGTAAGTCAAATATCAAATACTATCAATATGCGTATATTTATGTATGTAGAAATAGATAAATTTATTTGAAAATTTTATTTAAGTAACTTGTAGTCCTTGAGTTACTTTTAATTTCATTTTTAAATTGTTATGTTACAGTGCAACTCCTCCACAAATTTGCTATAAGAGCGTCAGATGGTCCAATGAAGCTTCTAAAAGTCATAAAAAATCCAGTAACTTCACATTTGCCAGTAGGTGTAAGGAAGATCACAATGTCATTTAGTTCCAAAATGGTGAAAAATTGCAGGGACCTTGTCCCAAAAGATGAACCAATAGTCTTAATAATTGGGGCAATGGCCCATGGGATGGTGGAGGTGGATTATTCAGAAGACGTGATATCAATTAGTAATTATCCATTGTCAGCTGCATTAACTTGCTCAAAATTGTGTTCGGCTTTTGAAGAAGTTTGGGATGTTGTGTGACAGAGTTTGTTGATGGAATAAACATAGTTATATTTTAGTACATAGTTTCATTTTGTTGTTCGTAAATGTTGAATAATAATTATGATCATTATTGAATCGTTGATTATTGTTATTGTGATTTCTACAGGGAGACCGCTAGATGGCGCTGATATGTGTTCAAGGGCTAAGGCCATGTGATGCTTGTTTAAAGTGTAGTCTACCGAAGATCCAGTAGATGGCGCTATATAGCTATTTAAAGAGATAATAATTTGGAAAAATTCTACATTACGTACTTAGTAACACTTATCTAATAAACTTGCAAACCATATGAAAATCGATTGTGTTCCGTGAAAACCTAAGCTTTATTATAATAGGCAACCATAAATTAATCAAAAACTTCTATGTAGGATTGTATATAAGTTATACGTCCACTAGCATATATAAAATATCTAAGAAGTATATTGTGTACTAAATAGTTTTCAATATCTTGTTGGAATATTGCAAAAACCAGCTCCCTCCGGCTCAGCGGAAGCCGTGACATCCGCCAAATTAGTACGAGCAGCCCCTAACGCTTTGACAAATGGCTAATTAGTACAAGATGGCACTTTTTCAATCAGTCGTTTGTTGCACGTGCATCATTGCGGTTCGTATATCGCGCTTAAAGTTCACTCGCACTTAAGTTATTTTTACGTGTGTCCTTTATTTTTGAGTAAACTGCCGCCTTGTAAATGGGCATATAGATCCACAATTTGCTAACGTAGCACAGTATGAAATAGGGTACATTGTTGCGAATCAACATCCAACAACAATAATCAGCATCCGCAACCGCGGATTATCTGCATAAATTAAAATATCAGGATCAGCATTCATCGATGCTGATATTCATTGCGGATGTTCGAGTCGTGACATGACCTAAAAGACACGCTGCAATAATTTACAAACCTTCCAGAAACTGATTGTAAGACGGAAAAGCAGCCCAGCGTTACATAACATTTAAAACTGATAAAATTCCACAACGATTAAGTTAGGCAAATTGATTGTTTTCAGGGAGATTGATTATTTTTGTTATAATTATTAATACAAAGATCGAACACATAGAAAAAAATTGATTCTTTTGTTAATACCTAAAGATCACAACATCGTTCAATTATTATTTTTTTACAGTAGGTACCAAAGACATAGAAAGTTTTATCATATAGATTCGGTAAGGATGAACATTTTTCGCGTTTTTTTTGAAACCCTAAAATCAGCATCCGCTGATGTTACGGTCAAAAGATCCGCATCCGCTTATGTGTAAAAACCCTGCATGAGCCACAATCCTGGTATGAAACAGATGTTGAAGATGAACGCATATTCTAAAAGGCCAAATGTTACTGGCAGTTTATTTCAGTTTAAAATCTACTGGAGTGTTTCAAGTCTCTCACGCGTACACTGATCGAATAGGAGAATTAATTATCTCTGCAAATATGTTGTTCTTAGAACATTAAATAACTCAGGGCCCATCTAATTTTCTGAGCATCAATCTCGTTTTTTGTTGATGCTCGCATTCTCGAAGCGCGTTCTGCTCCGAACTGTCTATTAAGGAATGCAGGGCGGGGCGGGAACTATGGGATGCTGGAGGAATGCAACCACGTTTTGTTGTCTATAAAATAAGACTACAGTCCCGGTTATTTAATAAAAAAGTATTAACTTTTTATCAAGTTTCCATTAGAGAACCTAATAAAAATATAGTTTCTGTTACAAAATTACACAGATTCCAATGTTTCTACATGGTCATTGTATAGACTTAGGTTGATATTTGGTATAATGGGAAGAACTCTCAGAAAAGTAGCAATGGAGGTCCGTGTAAAACACTTCGTCCAGCAGTCCTGTTTCTGCCGCCAAGCAGTAATGTGAGCATTACTGCGTTCCTGTTTGGAGGGGTACTGGTGAAATTACCGGCACATAGGACTTGTCAATCTACGTCTCAGGGTGACGGGCGCACGGCAGTGATTTTAAGATCTTTGCGATTTAAAGCTCTAAGTGGCACTGCAACTTGTTCGTCCCGTCACTTGGTATTAAAAAAAACTCGATCGACCACGGGGTCTTTAAGGTGAAATAATTTTATTTTAATTAAGTACTTATAATTTTTTATTAGATGGATAATTGCGGTTGAATACAGCACACGAAATACAAAATAAAAATTTCCAGGAACCTTGAACAACGACTTGTAAAAAGAAAATTACCAATTCACATCATTTATAGAAATATATCAGATCGAGATTTCTACCGTACTTACTTATCTTCTGCTACTGTGAAAAAATGTATGTAGTTCCAGTCATTCCGCATGCAAGAGCATTCTGCTAGGTTAGATATTTATCATCATATATTAGATATATATCACCATTGCAACAAATTAGCAATATTATTGAAGCAGTAATAATAATCCAAGTATTCTTATTTACATAATGTTACGAGTTTATGGTTAAAGAATATTTATTTCTTTTAAGAATGTAAATTCACTTACAGTTTAGGTATACAAAATGTACTAAAATAACATAGGTAACCGTAAGTGACGTCCAAGATTTTGATCACTTTATAATTATAACGTATTTCAAGATAAAAGTGTTATTTTCTGTGAAATAAACCTAACTTCGTGAAGCCACCTACGGAGTATACAGTCACATACAGTGCTGTTTAGCTTTTCTTTAGCGCAAACATATAAATAAGTATGAGTCTTTAAAAATTCTTTGCCATTCCATGCCAAATTCGCTGCTAGGTCAAAAGCTGACAAAAACAGGACATTTTGTGATTGCAATGTTAAATAACGATTTTAACAAAAGAACATACCTACTTCTTGGTTTTTTGTACTAATATACAAGTAGCAGTAGGCTCCTTGTGAAAGAGTTCGTCCAGGGTAGTATTGCCACCACAACCACAAGCAGCAATGTCAGCATTACTGTGTTCCGGTTTTGAAGGGTGACGGGCGCAGTGGCAGTGCCCGTTTGCGATTTAAAGCTCTAAGTGGCACTGCAACTGTTATGGATAGGCGTGTAGCTTACCATCAGACGCACGACTTGTTCGTCCCGTCACTTGATATTATAAAAAAAAACCTGGTACTAATGTGTTGAAGGAAATAAGTGTTGAAGTAAAATATTGTAAAGAGTAAAACCTCCGCTCTACTAACTCCCTAAATATAATTGCCAGTGCCATATAAGGTCCATAATGTGCTGTTAATTCAGCTTTAAGCCTTTTCCATTCTATGTAACATTATGGTTGATGCAAGAAAGAGTTGAATTGAATTGACGTAAGCGAGCGAAGTATGCAATGAAAGTGGTAACAGCGAGTAGAGGTTAAATTTTCTTCAACATGCCGAAAGGGTAGAGCCGAGTTGTAAGCAAATTAAGTAGACAATAATGTGTACAAATACTGCCATTTCAATATGCAACTACATATGAATGAAAATATTTGTATCTTAGGAACGTTATATACTTGAATATTTAAATAATAAAAATTGCCACGGAAATTAGGTACTGAACACTAGTCTGTGAATGACAGTTATCATGTAAAGCTTATAATACGTCAAGTATTTCAATATAATTCATATATTTGCTTTTAATGCTTATCTATTTGTTATCACTCTATGCCAAGCACTAACTTATAGTCTGCGTGGATTTTGCGATTAATTATAATATTTGAATACAACTGCAATGAACAGTGTAAGTTAGGAGGGTTATGTAAGTAAAGTGATTATTTTTAAATCTTATTAGCATTCAAAGCTAAATCACATGGTGTTGCAAAAAATATACTGACAAGGAGGGGCAAAAAGATCCAGCGCAGCACCGTCGCTTCAACTTCTAAGAATCAATTCTGGCGCCCGCGTGCAGGCTCTCACTATGAAACTCTACAACTTGCATCCGTTAGTGTAGGACATTCAAATAAAAACCCTGAACGATGTATGCAAAATAATCTGCAAAGATTTCATAGTACAGAGGTGCCCTGTCGCGGATTAAGTATCGTAGTAACCGCAAAAAATATCAAGTTACAATTCGTAGAATTTGGGAGGATGGGCGCTGGCGGTCGTTTATTGTTTGTAATTATTTATTGGGAAATTTATAATTGCGGAGAGGGAAAATTGTATGGGAAAAACAACAGGCTTATGACATAGTGCTTTGATGTTTTCACCTTATAATTGCCTTCACATTATTATAAGAATAATGTGGTTACATGAATACCGCACTACAGTCATGATGATGATTTAATTTTCTCAATGAAAACTATGGAGCTATGTACATAACCAATATTGGAGGCAAACAGTGAATTGGCACTGTAGAGGCAAGTATAAATAAATTTTTATGAGTTTCAAGTAAGCAGGGAAACACGTGGAATGTCGTTAGTGTGCGTCAACGCAACGGCGGCACGGCTCTGGATGTTGGGATGACTCACAGGTGGTGGCGTGATGTCTGACTAATAACTTCAACGATAGATAATTACGGTTAATTTTAAGATTTTAATTACATTACTTATATGATATACAGTCTTCACCCACGGATTATTGCAGTAGAATCAATTCCACCTTGAAACAATACACAGATAAACAGGCAATAAAGAATTTATTATAGCCACGCAGGTGTGGAATGAATGAATTCATAATATCGGTGGAATCATTCATGACAATTCGGATCACATAAACGGTAGCGAGTGAAGTCATTGTTGTACGGCGGATTAATTTTGTAAGCGTGGTTGGGGAAGCGCGGGTAGGCGCAGGGTCGGGGCTGCGTGCATTGTATGCAGATGGAAGCTCGCGCCGCTGTATCCACCCGCCATATTGGGTTGTGGATGTGCGTGACAAAACGACCGTGTACCCGATAATATACACTATGCTCATGCGGATTGAAGCGAGCGCGCCAGACTGAGCGGCGCGGCGGGCGCGGCAACGAAGTCGCGCCTGCCCGTGCGCCGCCAGACCGATCGGCGCCGCGCTCACAAAGGACTCATTGTATTCCTCGTCGACCAACTCCATAGAAGGACCCTTCGCTTTTTTTAAAAATTCCTGATA